GAGAACTAAACTGCTGATTACATTTATAACAAGAGAACTAAACTGCTGATTACATTTATAACAACAGAACTAAACAGCTAATTATAATGAACAACACATCAGTATGTTGTCTGTAATTCCTATGTTATAAAGAAATGGTCGATTTCACCGATGGAAAATCAGCTTTTATTTAAACCATTCATAATTATCTACACATCCTTTTGTTTACTTAACTCATTTTTGTGTTTAATGGGTTGAGAAAAGTTGTAAACACAAAACTTAAACATATTTTTATAAAGGAATCTTTAACTAAAATCTAAACTTATAAAACTTGTACTTGTATATGTTAACAATTAAATAATGAAATTAACTAGCTAAATGAATTTGAAGGATTATTTAATAGACAGAAAAAAAAAGAGAAGAAATTTATTATTTTATGATGAAATGAGATATTGTGGCCTGGAAGTTGTTAGGGACTGTTGCTGCTTCTATACAATTCTTTCTTTAATATTTTTGTGAACAGGCCATGTTAGTCTCGCTTGTTTTCCCTGGATTAGATATTTAATCTTAACACAAAATTAATTAAACATAAACATTACCTTATTATAGACCATCTGCTGAGTTTGTTGTAAGAACTTCTCAATTTTCTCTATAGTTTTTACAGGCTCTGGCCACAGTGGATCTAATGAAGCAGCCTTTTCAAAACTTTCCAATGCTTCTTTGTAAGCCTCATCATATTTTAAACCCTGTAAATTATTAATCAATAATGTAGAAATAAGTAACACAAAAAAATCTTGAGCACAGTAACCCAATTTTCTTGGAAACATTGTTGACTGCCAAATAAGATAGGTTTTATAAAAAAAAAATAAGTGATCATAATGCATTGTTTCTTTAGTTAGTTCACTTTAAAGAAAACTAAAAAGGAATCTAATTAGCAGAAAAGAAATATCCAGCAACAATCATTAAGTACATACAAAAAATTACCTGTGCCTGATGAGAGTTGACATAAAACAGTCAGAAAGAGAATGCATAAGAAAACAACAACAACAAATATATAAGATACATGCAGATTAAAACCATCACACCTTGAGCCTACATCAACATTTATATATTACTAATAGAACTCCTCTGATTTAGTGATTGAACAGACAAATGTAAACTAGCTTATCAAATTTCATCCCAGGTGGATGAGTGGTAAGTTTATGGACTAGCAACATTGTGTAGTTTTGTGCTAAAACAAACTTTAAAGAATTTTAACGTAAAAATGTCATAGATTTACAAAAGCATGAATAAAAAAAAAGCTATCTTGTTACTACATATTTTATATATATAGTAAGTCTTTGAAGAGCCCTCATAAACATATTTCTATGATTAATTTACTAACATTAAAATCTCACACTTAAAAATAAAAATCCAAAGCAAAGAACTAAAGTAACTGATCAGGAGAAACTGTTCTCAGAATAGCTGATTCAAAACTAACATGAAACAGTTTACTTCATAAATTCCAGTCATAATACTCAATCCTGGAAATGCTAGCTAAGTATTTGTTTAACCTTGGTGTATTATATAAAGTGTACAGAACTTATGTTAACAAATTTATTAACACAAGTGAATAAGATAATTTTAAAAGACTTTCTATACCAGTTGGATTTCCTTTTTGACTTGATACAAAAACGTTTTTATATCATGAGGATGAAATTCAGTAAGGTTTGTATATGAGGAAACAATATATATATATATATAAAAAGTCAGATAGAAAAACTGTCACAACACTTACTACTGCTCTATTATAGTGCAGGTCAGGGTTTGATCTTGCAGCAGGATCACTCATCTATGAACAATCAATAGTATTATGGTTGTATATATATATAAATGGCAGAAAACTCAGTCTCCTAATACTGAAAGAGCCTTATACCTTAAATATGCAGTTATATGTAACATGATGACCTATAGGAAATCTTTATAAGATAATATTTTTAAGTAGGAGCGGACATTTTTTACTGCTTTCAATAAAAGTTGTAAATAATTTAATTTTATAAAACAATCCACTTAATCTTCTAGATATTGTAATCTATAAGTTTATATAAATATGGTTTATAAAAAATATATCCTAAAAATGAGCAAATAACTTTTTATTCTTTATATGATTAAACCATTCTCAGTTCATTGCATTACTGAAAGGATGAACTATAATGTGCAAATAATTTATTATCTGTTAGATTTTTACTTGTAAAAATTCTCTGATGGAAACAATGTAATAGATAACCTTATTGGAATTAAATATTCCTTTATTAACATTCAAACACAGTTTCAATTCATTTTCTTGTGTAGTGTATAGTACATTCAACTTTAAAAGGTTTTTTTTTTATTGATAGCTTTGATAATATTACTGTTATCTCTCAAAAACTGGGATAACATAGTATCTTGTTCTATTTAACTAAAAATTAATCCTTAAAATACACAAGAGTATTTTTATGTTCATGTATTATCATCTTTAAGTTCTGTCTCAAAGGAACCATCATGATATAAAGTTTGAAACTGTCAAACACAAGTATTACTACTAACATACTTTCAAAAAATATCCAATTTAATGTCTTTGGAAAACAAAAACAGGAAGCAATAGAAAAAATACTTACAGCTCTAATATAAGCAGACATACTTTGTTTTAAGATTTTTGGACTTTGATCAGCCACAAAAAATAAATTCAAGTAAGCATTTCCCAGAATATCTAAGAAAAAGGAATAATAACACAATACATTAGAAATAAAAATGCTTTCATATTAGTTATATGAACATGTTTAAAAGTATATTGGTGTTAAGTGAGTACATTAAAGTATTATGTGGACATATTTGATGTTATCTGAATACTTTTACTTACATATTTTTTTCAGTGCATACAAGCATTTTCAATATTAAGTGAATACAGTTACTTTTAGCATTACATGAACATTTCAGTGTTATGACAGCACTCTTAAATATTAAATGAATGATTTAATTGTTGTGTTCATACAACACTGCATGAATACCTTTAGCATTATGTAAACACCTTAAATGAAGTATCAAGGTGTCTAGTACACATGGTATGGAAAGTTAAATAGAATAAACTTTATCATAGTCTTTCCAAAATAAGCCACTACATCTGAGTAAAGTATCAAAAAATAACAACATGTATTTAGGCTTTCTTTAGATACTTACTGAACAATAAATGTTATCTACATAAATCTGACAAATAATGAATGTAAATGGCCTGTCCAAAAATGTGAACTTTAGCATATTTTGTGAACTAAGTAATTTATGTTTGATCAGTTAGAACAATTTAACAGTCAGATTTGTATCACAAGACTCTAATATTTTGTTTTTAATGACAGGAGTTGTGTTAAGAAAAAGGTTTCAATGGTATTTGGATCAGAACAAACAAAGACAAAATAATTTTATCTCAGTCTAGTTTGAAAAGAACAGAAAAACAAGAATATTCATATGTTTAAAAAGAATGATTTTCAATATGTATTAGATCAGAGAATGCAAAGGACTGAGAAGATAATTCTTTCATCATTTTAGTTAGAAAAATGCAAACATACAGACAATAGAACAAAATAACAATATTCAGATGTTTAAACAAAATGAAATGCATTCATTTCTGTATAAATGATTCCATTAATTATTTAAAAACTTTACAGAATGGCTTTTAAAACAAATTCACTTTTATACATTTGTAAATGGCTATAATAATGCTACTGTTTGGTCAACAAATTTAACTTGAATATAAAAGGTTCATAATTATACACACTTACACATACACAGGCATAAATGTATTTGTTTTAAATTCATCTTAGTAAACATTACCAACAACAGTTTTTAATTTTTACTTTGGATTAGCTTAATGGACTAAATAAAATTGCTTCTAACCTTGCTTATATCAAAGCAACAAAAATGAAAATAACAGTCTTAAATGAAAATGATAGCCTTATGGTCTCTGAACTGTAATTTTTTTCAACTTAATAGTTAAGTTAACCCTCTCTATATGGTCTTGGTCATTTTGACAGATCTTGTAACCACCATGTAACTATTAAACTAATCATACTGTAACTTTTGATGTATCAAGTGTATCTTAATGAAATTTGACAAAATTTTAGTAAACACAAAAAAAATCAGGTTTTTTAAAGAATAATTTTACTAAAGATTAGTCTGTAAATTTAAGAAGTCAGAGCTCAGACTATGAGTAATCCGAGTTCAAGATTAAAAATATCTTTCTTAATTTGACAGTTTCTAATTTGCACAACACATCATCAAGTTACCAGTATGCTCAGTGAAATTACAATGTGTTACGCTCATTAAATGTGTTTGTGCTATTGAGTATATTTATATAATTTTTTTCATCTAATTTTTCTCATCCAATCGAATAGGTTTCTAATTTTCACTCTTTAGATACTTTTATAACAATAAATGTAGAAAAACAACAACAAGTTTAGTAGTTACATGTATGTCTTATGCTTTTCTCTCTCAAAGTCTTGAAATCTCAATGAAAGTTAACTTTACTTTTTTTTTCTAGGGGAGTTGTTTGTACTTTACTTAATTTTTATTTATTTCAAATATGCAATTTAAAACACAAAATATTAATATGCAACAAAATAACAATGTCCTAAAACTGTTATAATTTAACTGGTTTTCTAACTAAGCTATATACATGTTAAATTATGTTTCCTTACCTGGTTGAGGTAATCTCAGCAATAGCAAACTATGAAATTGACACAGAATAACTCAAAACTAATTGTGTGAATGTGCTAACCTCATAAAGGAAAGCAGTAAATTGATATATTTTCTATCTCTTGTTAAAAATAATCTAATAATAAATGTCAGAGAGATTGTTTGTTTTTTGAATTTTGCACAAAGCTACACGAGGGCTATCTGCGCTAGCCATCCCTAATTTAGCAGTGTAAGACTAGAGGAACAGCAGCTAGTCATCACCACCCACCGTCAACTATTGGGCTACTCTTTTACCAACGAATAGTAGGATTGACCATCACATTATAATGCTCCCACAGCTGAAAGGGCGAGCATTTTTGGTGGAATGGGGATTCAAATCCACGCCCCGCAGATTGAGAGTCGAGCTCCATAAGCACTGGGCCATGCCAGGTCCAATGTCAGATAGAATTATTCACTTATTTTTTAAGACAGCATGTACTAGGAGGGTCATAGAATGTAAGTTTCATTCTACAGCATAACTCATCAAAGCAAGAAAAATAAATACTATTTTTCTAACAGGTTGTTTGACCTCTGGAATGGGCTACCTTCAGATGTGAAGAATGCAGTTCATTTAAGGGATTTTAAAGGAAAGCTTGATAAACATTTGAATGATAAGGACTTGCTTTGAAGTTTTTTCTTGTAAGGGTTTAGTTTAATTTATTGGATAGGATGACCTAGATGGACGAAAAGGTCACTTTCTGTCCTTTAATGTTAAAAAATTTTATGTTAGCTCAGGGACATCTAATGTATATGTGTGCAAGATCTTGGACACTTAGAAAATAATATACGGGTTGAAACAAATTTTCCAATGGTCAATTTGGTACAAAGAAGTGTCAAGTGATACATAAAAGTAAATACTGAAAATAAATTTAAATATTTCCTTTTGAAATTAAAAATTAATATTTATATAATATTAAAATTTGAACTATAAACTACTTTTTGATACCAAGTTTATTGACATACAATGATAATAAAGTGGTTTAATTAAATTTTGAACATATCTTTCTTAAAAGATTGTGATATGAGCACTTTGACTTACATGTATCTACAAGGTTAAACATTTTTTAACAATTAAAACTGCAGTTCAATAAAAATTAAATTAAATTAGAATAATGTAAAATTAGACATATCATTAAAAAGTTAGTTACGTTTCAAACATTATTGTTTTTCAAATATCAACAAGTAACAGGAAATGAACAGATTTGATACCAGATTAATACAAAACGAACAAGCAATGTCAGAATTACACATACACATGTATATACTACAGTAGTGGAAATTAAACTTTTAAAAGACAAAGTCAACCATTTTTTAACTTCTCAACTTCAAAACACTAAATAATGTTAACAACTAAGTAACACTAGCACATATATGAGGTATTTAAAAATTACTGAAAACGAAGTTATGTTCTTTCCTTAGTACATAAAAACTATTTGTAAATCAAGGCAACTACAATATGAATGAGAAAGTGGCATGTTATTTTAATATTTTTTGAATTATATGAATGTTTTTGAAGTTTTCAACTGTTTTGAATTATTAGGATAATTTTACATCCAAAAAATGGACTTAGTGTGGGAAGTCCTCCAATACCCAATCAAGTAAATTTATTAATGATTTGTATGGAAACAAAAGCAATACAAACAGCTTTATTCCCTTCCCTACATGTGTGAGAGATATACTACATACTTTTAATAACTAACATAAACAGAAGTTAACATTTTCTTACACTGAAAATGTATTTCCCAAAGGACTTACCTCCCTCACACAAAGCTGCTTCGATCTTCTTTCAGGCCTCTAAGCATTGCTGAAAAAAATTTCACGCTCAGTGCACCAGTTCCTATACCCCACCAATTTGGTGCCACTATTGAACATGTACATAGCACATGTCTACTCTCTACCAATAGTACTGCACCACCTATCTTGGCACAGCTAGCTCCCTCTGCTATTCCTCACTTTCGAGAATTGGCAGGCTCTAAAAAAAGTGTGTGAGAGGAGGTAAGTATCTATTGGAAATACATTTTCAGTGTAAGAAAATATTAACTTCCAATACGGTCTTAACTTTTCTCACACAAAGCTAGAATCCTATTATGCAACAGTGGATGGCTGGGGTAGATGCTCAACATTGAAACCAAGTTGATAGCGACTGCCCGAAATGAACAGGTATGCTCCGAAATGAAACTGAACCACACATGGGGTACCACACTACATCTGGAACAGGTATGCTCTTCCTCTTCATTATGGAAGCAGGAAATGAATCTGATATGGGCTGGAAAAAAAAGGACGTGCACAAGTGCAATTTAATCGAAGGGGTGCAATCCATAGTAAAATATAAACTGAATGAACTAGGTAGATAATCAACCTCAACCAGACAAACGAAGTTCCATAACTGGTCCTCAGCATTAGGAGGTTGAGGATCAAAACAGATAAAAATAAATGTAGTGTAACATAAACATAATGGCTAAGGCATGTGGACCGTGTTATATATACTCATTAACCCAAACCATAAGTAAACAGTGTCATACATCAAGCAACTGGAATTATAAATGAGGAAGTTAGCTGAACCTGGTATTAAGGGGTTGTGCCATTCCCTCAACTCAACCTTAAGAACAGGGCAATATCTGTAACTGGTATTATGAGCAGAAATCATAACTCGCCCAACCATAAATGCTGGGAAGAGACATCCTACATCGAGAATTATGAGAAGGACATGGAATATTCACTCAACTGTAAGAACAGTGTACATATGTCCTGTTGCTGGTAATGCAAGGCAGACAAAGTCCCCCAAAATCAACCATAATAGCAGGGAAAGAACCTCCTGCAACCAGAATTAATGAAAAGAGGGAGCTCTACTGCACACAACTGTAGGAACAGGGAGGTGTCATTCCAACCCTGGTATTATGAGGAGGATTTCATATAGGCTGGTCCTGCTCCAACCAAAAGCTTTCCACCTGGGAAAAAGCATCCAGTGGAAATGGAAGGAGGGAAACCAGCTTTGCCCTCTTCTCACTGAGTGAAAAATCATGGGTATGTATGGTAAATTTAAAATTAACCAATGCACTCAGGAGAAAGCCTCCATGGTTCACCACCCAAGCGACTGGGAACTGGAAAGTGGTAAGGACTCCATTGTTCCGCTGGAAGAAAAAAGGGAGAAGTAAACATGGTGGGAAGTCCTGAGAACGTCACACCGGAGAAAGTGCAATGCGTGTCCACGAGTCCCTATTTTGAAAAGCAGACCGACCCCAATTTATTGAATCAAAGGGTTGGCAAGGATGGGCAGAAATCCCCTTCTGCTTTACTCATGAAGTCTATGAGTGATGGTCCACCATCAAGTAATACTTACTGATATCTAGAAATATATGTATACATCACTGGGTATGGTACCAGTGGTCTTGTGGAAAACCTCATCTCTAAGTGAGCGTTATAGTGCAATCAGTAAATAGTGTGGACTTGAGGCAAGAGTGGGATCCAATTTTAACTGGTAAAAATATAAAAAAAAAGTGTTGAAACAATTGAATGCAACATTAAAATAAAACTGTTAAGACAAAAAGATCTCAATTGGCAAAGAAGCACAATCATAAATGGGAGCCATATGCAAAAAAACACACGTCTAAACAATGCTGTGTCAATTGAGAAAGTGAGGATTGAGTGGGAATAGCAGAGGGAGCTAGTTGTGCTAATATATGTGGTGCAATACTATTGGTGGATAATTGTCACATGCTATGTACATGTTCAATTGTGGTGCAAAATTGGTGGAGTATATAGACTGGTACGATGAGCATGAAAATGTTTTCAGCAATGCTTAGAGAGCAGAAAGAAGATTGAGATAGCTTTATATGAGGTAAGATCGTATCGGAACTACTGTTATAAGAGCATTGACTCCATCCATCCTAACATAAAATTCATAATTGAAAAAGAAGAAGAAAGAAGCAATAATATACATCTTCAATATAAATATTATATGACCTCATAACACATACAACATAAAAATACATAGAAAGACCACACACACAATAAGAAATACATCAATTGACGACCAGCACAAATTAATCAAATTAGGTATGTTAAAAGGCTTATACAACATTACTTTATTCAACTAAGGAGACAGAAGATGAAATAAATTATACTTAAACTTTCTTTAACAGTTTCAATAGTTTTACAGAAAGATGTAAGACATAAAATAACTTTCACCAACAACAACATACTATATACACAAGATAATAAAGAATAAATATGAAATAGCCAAGTCATAGGAAAAAGAGGAGAACAGGTTATAAGAAAATGTAATAACTCACGAAAAATCACAACCTAAATCTTGAGATAAAATTAATACAAAAACCTGAATTAAAAACAAAGGATTTACTAAACAAACCTTACAACAATGAAGACTACACAAATGGATCTATCTATGAAATTAGCCATGAAAATTATGGATCTGTATAACTTGGTGAAATAGGTAGAAATTGAAAAACAAGATTCCTTACACATACTAAAGCTCAACCATAAAATGAATTACAAAAACAGGAAGTCCACAAAAACTATAGGAGCATTCTTGACAAAGATACACGAACCAAACAAATATATATATAAAGGATATCTCTACCATTATTGAGTGCCTTCTATCACATGTGACTTCTGTTTAAACATCATGAAAGCCTATTCTCTTTTTCTTTTACAAACTTATACAATAGCACGAGTTTAAAATACATTTTTCAAAGGTTTGTTATTTATCTAAAAAATTATATAACATAAGTCAAAGAGCAAAAGATTGAGGCATTAAAATAACTACAACTCATATAACCCAAAAGAGGAATATATTTACACCATGAAAGTCCATCCTCTAAGTCCATCTGAACTGCTTCCTTAGCTTTTTCAACACTTTCATGAATATTTCGTATTTTTTCTTTGGGTTCCTGGCTAATTTGACGGAGTACCATTGATATGTTTCTGAGAGATGTTTTATTTAGGCACTGAAAAGAAAATAAATGACTAAAAAACATAAGAACTTGTTGAAATACATGCATACAAGTACATATGCACACTAATAACAAAGTGGTTCTCAACCCTGTTATGCTACACACTCGCAGTCAGACCTTTGAGTCAGCAGCATATCCTTGATGCATATAACTTGTCAGAAAAAACAACAACAACAACATAAGAGTAGTATATATCAATAAAAAGACAAATCAAAAGAAACGATTCAAGGGTGAGTAAACAATATATGAATTTTGAATGAGTGTTCGCCAGTGGAATATGTTGGCATCTCACTGAGATTGCTCTCTAATATTGAGGTAGGGGGATTACTAAACCATTTTAGCAACATGTAAGTATACTTCTTCAAATAATCAGGTGTACAAACTAATCACAGATATCTATCAAAAAACGCTTCTCTATATTCATAATTAATGTAATTTTTTACTCAGAAATTTCTGTGAATTACAATATGTTGGAAGAGATATAAAATGAAATTAACCTATTTAGACAAGTATACAGTACACACATAACACCTGATCTGACACACATGTATTCATTAATTATAGTTTAATTTATTCAATTTTGTTTTTAATTAAACATAGAAACAAAAGTTTACAATGACCCCTAACTGTACATGAAAACAAAATACACGATGAACATACCAAGTTATCAGAATTAGTAATTAACTTAATTTCTTCTATTTCTTTTTTTTATTATAATGAAACTTTTATAACGACCCTATAGATATAAAAACATCACGATTTGAAACATGTTTTCTAAAATATTAAAATATAGTATAAATTGCAATATATTTTATGAAAACAAAGTAGCTAAATTAAATAATGCCTTATGAAAAATTAATGAAATTACATATTTTTGTCTTCTTACAATAAATTCACAACACATCGAGCTGTGAACATAGAACTACTACACAACAGCCCTTTTTTGTCGTGTCAAATCTTCTAGTTCTGAAGTGTCAGCTGCAACATCATGGTTTACCCATATGAAAATAAAGCTTACAAAATGTATTAGATGTCTATCTTACTACCCACAATGAGCACCAATGTTTCTGCATATCACAGATGAATTTCTGGATGGAATTCTGAGGAACATTTCCTCATCACAACTTTCCCAGCCGACCTACTGTTTCTGGTATCCTACAAACTTATGAGTGAAAGTAAAACAGAATATGTTATAATATGTTAACCAACACTACATCTGCTACATCAAGTGTCATTACCATGGCTCAACAGGCTGGCTGGGACATGACAGACATAGCAGTGGTCCAGGCACTATAGATATCAATTTTCATGAACAGTGACCGTTATGGTGTTAACTAGATTAATATGTACAGGTGTGGTAGCAAAGCCATCTATAAAATAGCACATTATTCAAAATACATGCATGGTGAGTTTATCTTTGTCATCCATCAAATATAAACTGGGTCCAAAATAACATCAACAACAAAAGTTCTGACAATCTATGGCTGCCAAAATCTCACCTCTACACTATCGAGAGTAACTTCAGCACTATTTCCCCAAGATGTAAGGTTCAATAGCTTTACTGAAGTAAGTCCTTTCACATTCCTTGCACTTGTTGATGTAACTTTCATTTACCAAGTAGTCAGCCTATACTATCAGGTTGTCTTGATTTCTGCAAGGCTTTGATTATAGTCTGTATATAATTCTTTCTGATTTTTTATGACCATGAAGTTTTCAAATGCATTTTACAAAGAAGGAAACAGAATAAGTCTTGTTTAAATTATTAACCCATTAAGAATTTAGAATGTAAAGTTAACTTAATTTTTTCCCAATTTTTTTAACTGTGTATATATATATATGTTGAGTGCCTCGTTCTCCTTTCCAAGCTACTAATTTAATGGGGTTCACTTTATTTTTTGAAATGTTCCAGTCATCAAAAATTCTACTAAAGAATCTAATAAGATAAAATCTTCATTAAATTCACTAAAAACACACTTGTTACTAATAAATACACATACAGACAAATGTTACTTTTAATTCCATCATAAAAATATTTCACTGATAGATTATTTTACTTAGTTGTTGTTGTTTGTTGATTTTCTTGCAAAGCTACTCAAGGGCCATTTGCATTAGCCTTTCATACTTTTGAAGTAATAAACTAGAGGGAAGACAGCTGTTCAACACCACTCACTACCAACTCCTCGTGGGCTACCCTAATCAAATAGTAGAATTTGATAGTCACTCTTTATAATGATCCACGGCTTCAAAGTGTGTGGCACAATTCACTCTTTATAATGACCCACGGCTTCAAAGTGTGTGGCACAATTCACTCTATATAATGACCCAAGGTTTCAAAGTGTATAGCACAATTATTTTTGGTACTAATGGAGCAAGAACCATAAAACCTCAGATCTACAGTTTGAACAGCTAACCACTGGGCCAACACTTGGACCATTTGACTTAATGCACATAGAAAAACAATTAAACAGCGAATATTTTTTTCACCATAGCTTTTTAGAATTACTTAAGTTCCATCTTAATAATTTAACATATAATGAAATACTTTTGAAAGAACTATGCATGTTATCAGACATAACTAACCATCAAGTACATACTGTAAATGATGTTAAGTTGGATTGCTTGAGCAGACATTTTTATCGAACTAGTGACATATATATTACACAAAATATTTAGTGGCTGACTCTTAAAAGAAAAAAAAAAGAGAAATTTAAAGAGCTTTCAAATACTGTTGCATAATACCTAGATTAGAAAATATACATTTGTTTTACCATAGCTTCTAAAATTTTAAAATCACTAGAGCTGATTAATACACTTCTTATACACTCAGAAAATATTTCATAATTATTTTTCTCTGTATCTTAAGAGACTTTTTTGGGGTGGGAGGATAACTTCACAAATCTCATTATTTGACTTTAACCTATTTTGTATTGTTTAAATGGCCATAAGTCTTTGAAATATTAATTTTGGTCATTCAGCATAAAAATGCTAACACACTATTATCCTTAACTGTTGCACAGGCTCTTTTGTATTAAGGTGAAACTACTATCGTTTCTAATGGTTATTTGAAGTGAAACATATTTAAAATTCTGATGTTTCACATTTTTTGCCGTACATATTCTCATAGCATCACAGCACAACACATATATATCGATAGTTACTTCTCAGCAGCACTGTACTGTACACCAGGAAGTCATAAGCTCTTATTTGAGTTGTTTGGAAAAGTAAAAGCAACAATAGTAAAGAGCTGTAATTTTAAAGCAGAAATGAAGGGCCCAACAGTTGGCCTGGAGTTGTGATGGATGGGCAAGAGGTGTACAAATTTTTGGAGACATGTTACAAGGAGTGAAAAAAAAGCACTTCTTATAATATTTTATGATTTGCAAATCATCGAGCAGATTTTTACTGGGTTAGCCTGGGTGTTGAGTGGAGAGGCTGTAGCCTGTCCACTGCAGTAGTGTAAAACAATTCATATAAGATCATAATACTGTATAATACAGATGAAATTATGTAACATATTTCTGAAAGGTTAGTGTTTCTCCATAGTCGACAAACTTACCTGTTTTAAGGCTCTTTCAAAACAATTGCGTGCGCCTTGAACATCTCCTTTTTTCCACAAACATTCTCCAAGTTCATTCCACGCTTCAACCAATTTAGGATTGAATTTGACTGCCCGAGAAAGGACTTCAAAGGCTTCAGGAGAGTAGTCAGAAGTGATATTCAAGGCTCTTCCTTTTAGCATTAAATATTTTGCTCTATCTAGCTTTTCACATTCTTCTAAATGAGAAGAGAGCAAAACAAAAAATAAACATGTTCAGTAATCAAATCTTTTTCCTGTGCTTTTTGTATTGATCATATGAAAATAAATAACAAAATACGGGACTTTTTTAGTTTGTTCATGTGCTGTAGTTTAAGTATCCTGTATTACTGCTGGGACAAAACATTTTCAGTACATGATTCTGCATTAATTATGTTCTGTATTTATTATTTTATCATCATATTCCACATATATTATTCAGGAATTATTATTTTACACAAAAATTTCAAGAAATACATTTACTAAAAATATCTATTTCAGTTTAAGTATTAGCCAGCTTTACATATGTATGAGGTTGCATAAAATTTATTTAGGCTGATTTTTATGCTCAACAAGTATAATATTTTACCAAAACATTTTTAGATACATATGAAAACCAAACTTTCCATTCTATCGTTATACAAAACAATTCTTAGAGTACATATATGAATATGGAAAGGGCCAGAAAACACAAAAACATTAAATATTCAAACTTGTGTGTGTATGTGTGTTTATAAGTGTTGGTTTGCCAATGTAAGCCTAGGGATCTTTTTCATCCAGTGAAAATTAGTTTGCTCACATTTTATAAATTGAAGTCCAGAAAGTTTAAGAATAACAAGTAAATAACTTGCATATGTTAAATGCCTTTACTACTCTCTTGCATCAAACAGTGCAAGTACTTCCTTCAGGCACACAGAACTAAGAGACACAAGCTACATAGGCTGTAGAAGTTGAATGATTGCAGTATTCGGAAAGGCACTGGCACAAAAGTAATTTATGAGATATACATACAGAATGTAACTCTCAAAGACTATACTTAAGTAACCACATTTAGTTTGTTCCATTTTTTTCTCTTTTATAGAAAATGATGTCTGTTCTCTTTATACAATTCCAGTTTAACTTATTTTTTTTTAATTTTTGGTAATTTCATTTTATAGTTGGTTTTTCATTTCAAAACCTTTGCATTGATTATCAATTTAAACATGACCACCTCATATTGTACAAAAATGGAAATGACAACAAACTATTATATAATGTTGCAGAACAAGTTATTTTCTTGTTTAAAATATTTTTTCAGGTATATGAAAGTAAATATTTCTGAATTTTTCTCCTTAGTTTTTCATGCCTAAATAACAAACTTACAAATGATCCTGGTAACTGTTCTCACAAAAATACTCACTATGAACTATGGAAAACATTGTCATTCCTACAGCAAATAAACTGTTATTTCAAATCGTAGAGCAAATTAGATCAGTTGACTTTTTTCTTAACTAGAAAGTATCATTAGCCAGATAATAAAAATTAATTCCTCGGTTTCATATTTTATTGTGAACTACATCAAATTGCAGTTTAAACTTTTCAAAGAACCTGTATGTTTGAAAGTTAAACTACTCATATCAGAGTAATGTTTTACTAAGTCATTTGTGTAGTTTTAATCAAGTATCTTACACTAGTTTAAGAAGATACCCTACATAATCTGATGAGAATATTATTTATACCAAATTATGAGAGTTAAAGAGAGAATGAAACAGTTTACACTCATTCCTAACAGCCTAGTTAATAACACCTACTAGTGCCTATTTTTTCCCACTTACAGATTCTTTATTACTTAAAAATTTGTTTTTTCCAATTTAGATGAATTATAATAAAATTTAAGAAGTTTGATTCGATAATAAAATGGAAATAAAAAGAAAATATAAAAAATTGAATATCTTATTCCTGTGAAAATCCCACCTATAAGTTTGTTTCTTTGTTGAAAAACACTAGATTGATTTTAAATTAGTGGCCACACCTTGAATTACTGACTGGAAAATATAAGATATCAGGTAAAACAGACAGAGCATTCTATAGTATGATTGGTTAAAATGATTTCAGCACTGTTGGAGATCAAGAAAATGTGCATTCTCATTGATCACTGAAAATTGTGCATTAGAAATACATTATAGAACAAAAATAGTTTCTGTAAAAGTTCCATGGTTTGACATAATCTGGTTACTTGTTAAAGTATTACAAGACAAAAAAACAACAACCCAAAAAACAAAGGCTGTACACCACACCAACAAACAAATGAAAATGTTTTATATATAAATCTGAAATGATTTGAATATGCAATTCACAATAACTTTTGAATTGAATTTTCATGTTATTTCATGTATGACAAACCTGATTGCTTGGCATGCCTAAAAGCTTTTGAAAAGATTAATGAAATGATGAGATTATTTATTTATTATTATTTTCTATTATCTGAACATTATATCTGAAAAGGTGATGAAGAGGATGAGTATCTTTAATATGCTCCAATGCATCACAAAACAATAAATTGGAATGAAAAAGTTGTTTCACCAGCTATAAGTAACCTTTAACATGTTATTTGTCATGAAAAATGGCAGTCATGTTGTACATGCTACGTTAATGACAGTATTATCCAAAGTTACATTTTAACATAGCAGGTAGTGACATGACTCTGATATGGAAGACAACATTGTGGAGTAATGATACTTGTGATGAATGTTGTGCATGTGAAGGTTGGTTTGTTGCAAGCATTACAATTGATGCTTCATGGATGATTTGGTCTCCAGAAACTACTAAGATGCAAAATACATGGAAATGAAATGGCAAAATGAAGGTATGTCAAGCTCTATATTCAAGGTGACACTAGCAGTTATGTCCTGACCTGACAATGTGCAACTGATCATACTCCAACCACTTAAGCGGCATCAAAGGTCAATCCCAATGAATCTTCTATGACACATCACATGGTCACCAAATATATGAATTCCTATGTCATTTGGGGTCAAGAAATGTTTGATGCTGTGTTCATATTGTACTATTCAATAGTACCCATACACCTCCACATTCACCAACATACATCTTTCCCCTTCCAGCACCATACAAGTATGTATTAAATATATCTGACCAAAACAGGAGTTCTGGTAATAAAAATAATGCAGATGATTAGTGACAACACAGTAAAATTGAAGTGCTAGGCAGGTTACATGAAGCTAAAATTTATTTCAAATGAACATCTACCATCTTCTATATATATAAAAGCAAAATATATCGTATGTTTGTCTACTAATTCCTCGAGCACTATTTGACTAATCTCCACCAAACTTGGCATGATGACTCCTATGGTTCTTAGAATAAACATGAAAGGATCAAAATTCCTACAAGGTTTCCACAAAAAAAAAATGCTCATTTGATTGTGCCAAACAACTTCCAACATGTGAACTATTTCTGTATTTTAAAATCATTTTGTAATACAGTCTGTTCCTTTTCTCTAAATGGTGGGAAATTCTACTGTAAAAGAAATCTTCGAAGCTCATAAAACTTTATTGTGACATAACAACTTTTCTAGGTTAATTTTGCTAATAATCAAATACATCTATCTTTTTCACTGTGAGGCTGAATGTGTGGCTCGCTTTACTATAGTGTTATCAGGTTTATGTTTAAAATATAATCATGATCAAGGAGCACATCCATAGAGCTTCCACCCCTAAAGTGGAGGTGTATAATATACCAAAAAAGACCCTTCATATAATACTATGATTTACTGGTAAATATGCCTTGAAAAAACAAACAAGACTCAATACTTTATTGTGCAGTGTTTATCAGAAAGTACAACCTCAAGTGATTTTTAAATTTTAAAGTTTAAGTTAAACCTGTCATTAGAATAAGGAACTATTTTGTGTCTAAACACAGAATGGATAAGGTGAACTGCTTGAACTTTACCTACATGTACCAATGCTCTGGGTTTTAAAAAGACTGGTTGATGGAATTTTGCCACAGTCTTGGAGTAGTTAGCATTTGGCAAAGTGCATGGAGTTGTCAGTGAGTGTTTAGCATGCTCTAAATTTTAGTGATATTCTGTTAAAAATCATGAAGTTTAAAATTATTGAACTGTTGAAAAGGACCTTGTTTTAGGAATCAAAGAGACTTTGGCCATTAAAAACTTTCATTAGAAATAGAATGCAGTGTACTACTGTTGTGTTATTTTTAAAAATGTAACTGTAATGATTCTGGTACATTGAAAAAGTACTCATTATTTGTTTTAAACAAGGGTAGTTGATGAACTGATGCTCTGTACTTAATTATACTGATCACTTCTCTAGTAGGAAACTGTGCAGGGAGCTGATATAAAGAACTGATCATTTCCCTTGGTATAAAACTGAATGTAAATGGCCTTATGCTCTCAATTGAATATTAACCCTAATGGAGAAAAGTGATATGTATGCTTAACCTTTAAAATACTAAGAAAAGCCACATCAAAATCTCTTTCAAAAAATAGTTCCTAAGGCTGCAAAAAAAAAAGGAAATAATGAACCAACTGATGAAAGAGAAGCAAGGCCAAAAGCTGTAAGAGTTAAAAAAGCAGATAGGAGGAGAAATAAATCACAGGAAGAAAGAGAAGTAAGGTTTGAAACTGAAGAGTTAGAAGAACTGAAATACATGCACAAGAATCAGATGAATTAAGAAATGAAAGACTTGAAGGAACGAGGAAGTCAGCTGTAGCAAGAAGTTTGAGAGAAACTGAAGGGGAAAGAGATAGAAGAAAAGAAGGGAAAGAGAGAGAAGAAGGCAAGGATTACATTTTGCAGCTCATCACTATGATTCTCAATGTGGTATATCAAGAAGCTTTAACTTAGATTGTGTTATTTTTGTTTTGAAAATCAAAGCGCTTGATAAAAATTAAAATGTTAAGAAAATTGAATTTTTTTTAAATAAATGTTCTTAAAAGAAATTTCTTTGTGTCTTTAATATCTATTTTAAGTACTTGGGACACCCGTGCAGGGAACAAGTAATTCAGCTACTAATATATATGATGAGAAAAGAAGTGTAACAGGTATTTATACAGGACCAATAGGATAAAAGCATTTACCTTATCTTTATATTTTCTGAAGACAAGTTTAAGACTTGGAAAATACAGGCTAGGCTCAGAATAGGCTGCTTTATTTTTCTGACAAGATTATAGATGTGGGAATCAATAATTTCATGAAATATAATGGGTGGGTTTAGGATTTTACTTTTGATTCAAGGGTGGGCATGTAGAGAATACCTTGATGGACTAAATGGCCCCTTATTATCCACGTGTCATGATGTACATTTGAGCCAATATATATGAAAATATATCTTAATAATGCTTTTTTCTGTAACTATTTCAAATGTAATGATCACAAAAAATATACTCTTATTAGCATATAGGTCCATATACATTATTGGCTACCTTTTTGGGAAAAATGTGAAGATATAACTTGTCACACAAACTATAATATCTGGCAGTGCATGTACACTGACACACATCCTTTAATGGCAATAAAATCTGGAAAACAACTTACCTTTATGTTCATCTAGCAACTGTAAGGTTTTCTCAAGTTCTTTACTAATATCTGTAATTTTAGCAGTGGCTTCGTTTACAGGGTGATTATCAAAGTAATGATCTCGAAAGTTGTACAAGTTTGAAACAGCATCCTAAAAGTCACAACATATAATAAGTCTTTTTATTTCACATATGCAAAAATCAAGAGATATACATGAAATAAAAAATAAAATTTAGTTCTTTACTTGAAAACAGCTATACAATTCAAAATATCTCTCATGAATATTCCAGTTAAAGTAAAACATGTAGTTATATCCTCACAAACATGTAGCAGTCAGCTATGAATTAAGATATATCGCATCTTCAAACTTTTATAGTTTACACTCATTAATGTTTTTCATATTTATTAACATCCATTCTTTATATCAAAACAATATAATTACATTCTCAAGGAATGATAATTTCTTAACAAATATATAAACCTATGCTTTGGGATGTGCAAAAAAATTCTAACAAAAAATCAATAAGTGTGTTGTTTACAGGTCAGATAACTCAGAGCTATGCAGAAATGTATGTTTAAATTTTTTTTTTTCACTTTTGTTTGCAAATTATGCAAAATAAATGTTATAATATTACAAAATATCAATTCTAAAATATTTTTGAGTAACAACTTACAGGAACAGAGTTAAAATGATTATTTTTACTTTGCATTTTGAAATTTTATATCCAGATGTGCAACCAACACCTGAAATAATAGATGTATCTATTGGGAACTCTTTTTATTGAAGGGTTAGGGAAAACAATTACAAATTTATCCAAAAGAGAAAGTATAATATTTAAACTCCTTGAATGTAGTTATTCATTCATGATGTCAGTAAAACATTTAGGTTCAAGAAGTCTTGATACAAAATGATAAAAACCCTATAACCCGAGCGCTTTCAAAAGCACTTGGGGTTATAGGATTTTAACATTTTGTAGTTATTCATTTATGTTGTACTAACAGTCTCCTGTAGACTACCACAAAATAAACAAAACAAGAGAATCATCGATACAGATATATGAAATTACTCACAGTAATTTTAGCCAAAACTTCCTCATTCAGCTTCTGTGGATTCATTTACATTAGCACCGTGGTCTATTTTTATATCAATAGTTATAGATCACAGACTTTCTATACACGAGCCTGTTCCAAAAACAGTAAATCCACAATAAGAAGATAGATTCAACTTTTTCTTCATGTGATAGCCTGAAAAAAATTTACAATGCTCGAAACTTATGACCACACAACACAGCATAAAACATACTGTACAAAGTAACATTTTATAAGACACAGCATAATAGATATACATTTGATGACCAGGAACCTACTTTTTGGAAAAGAAGGTTAGGAGATGGTTTGAATTGGTAGTGAAAGAAACTTTATTCCAAAAGTATAATATTTTTACAAGCTTATGTCATCAAGCCATCTCCTAACTTTTCAATATGTATATGAACATATTCACAAATGTACTTTTATATGTTCTTTATACTGATTTAGTATAAATAACTGTGGTTCTTCACTTTATTTTTGCTAACCTGAGAAAAATATTCAAACTCTGTTTAACATGCTCAGCTCTAACTTACTATCAATACAAACTGTACATGTAACCTCACTCCTCAAATATATAGATATATATATACTGCATAGAAATTCATGCAAGTTAAAATGTGCTCCAAATAACACATTCTTCAGGAACATTTGGTTGTATTGCATATGAAAGCTACTATAGTTCAAAACTGTAGTCATCAACTAGTTATAGCATTCTACATGTTATTCAATAAGAACAAATATATGTTTAATACTACCACAAAGTAAGCAATTGTACAGAAGTTTTGAAATTTTACAATTAATAATTAGTAACACAGCCAGAAACTCAAGCTATGTTTTTTTTTTCTGACACAGTACAAGGAAAGAATTTACACTACAAATTAGGAATAAACTAAATAAAAACATTCTTTAGCTTGAAATAGGCTTAACCTAAGTACAAAAATAACTGTATGCATACTTGAAATCAGAAAATATAAAACAGCACCAAATATAGATTATAACTTATCATTATTTTATGAAAATGTTTTTGCAATATGTGTTTGAAAAATATGGTGTTGATCTAAAATATAAGATGCATGAAGCTGTTTTACAAGCAGATTAGAATAAAAAGTATACTTTTTACTCTCAGGATAATGAAGCATTTAAATGAAGTGTTTCCTCATCTACATTATGCAGGACGTGTTGAGCACCACAGTAAAAATATTTTCGGCCTATTTTTTGAATAGTGGACAAAATGACTTCAGGCAAGTAAAATTCATGTATGTCAACTGACATAAAAGGCAACTCCTTTTGTGTTTGTAAAGTGCTCACTACTGCATGGAAATCTAGAAGTTAAATGATACTAAGTAGAAGAAATACCTAGATTCTACAAAACCGATGAAACCTTCACAGTTTGCAAACCATCCCGAGTGTTTCTTTTCCTTTTGCTTTGATAAATGAACATTTTTTGTATACTTAAAATTTTTACAGATATAAGCATACAGGTATGCATACTGTAAGTTTAACTACAGATATTAATTCTGCAATGCAACTAAACTTGTGAATGCCTTGGTTACTCAGTGTTATGGGTCATTTCTCCATTAATATCACTTAAACCCTTACCATAGAAGAAGTTGCTGTAAAATTCTATCTTTAGCATTATGGCTATAGGTCAGGCTTTATTAAACTTGGAAGGTATACCTAGGAGCCTTTAATGGAATGACCAATAATGCAAGTATTCAACATGCTCTGGAAGAGATGACACCAATGTATTATTTATAGTCAAGCTTTCTCTCTGTTTTACTTAGATTTTTCAAAATTTTCAGAGTACCCTGTCATATCTTGGCCAGGTCTGTTTTCTGATTAAAATCTCTTTGCTGTCCATAAGTATAGAACACTTGTCAAATTTGTTTTTACTGTATTTTATAAAGATTTATTTTCATTTTGCTTTACATTCTGTTTTTTATTTTGAAACTCAGACTACAGTCTGAAATTCATTTTTAATTTCACATAACATTTTCTGCCTTTCCTTCTGTTACCTCTGGTTACTGTTTTTAGTAAAGTTAATCAGTGCATTTGAAAATACTACATATGTTCATGTTCTGTCCAATTCCACATGATTTATCATTTTGGGCCTGAAGAGTGGACATGAATATGTAAAAGGCTGAGAAAAGAAAGCCTTTACAATAAATGATGAACCTTACCAGTTTGTTTTCCTATCCTTTGGACTATGTAATACCCTTGAGACTTTATACAGTTCATTAGTATGTTTTGTGAACTGCTAGTGTACTGCAAGGTACATTATCATAATCTATCTTGATGGATAATTCAAGAAAAAAATATTAGTAATGGCAGTGAAATGGATTTTCAAAAGTGTTTTGAAGGCTATGGAATAAAAATTTTAAACTTAACATAGAGAAATTGAATTTGCATTGTAATTTTCTTTAGCATTTTGTCTTTAGTCTAACAGTAACAATTAGAGGTAAGAGTTCCATATGGCACCCCCACTCAATTTTAAAAAAAATTCATCAAAGTAATATTTATGTATTAATA